GAAGGGATACTGGGCAGCTAACTTGGCTAGGACTCATTATGCTGCAAATAGCAGAAAACTGCTATTCGTTCAGGGAATTAGACAGTTCTGAGATAGAGAAGGAAGATCTCAGGATTGGTTTGATTTAGGAGCTCAGTGATGTACTCGAGGACTTGGTTCTCTTCTGCATCTCTGGTTGGCCTCTTGCAGAATTGGTTTTATCCTTAGGCTAGCTTCCCTCAGAGTGGCAAAACAGCTACTGCTACTGGCCTAGGCTTTGCCCCCACCTACTTCAGCAACAAGGAGAGAATGACCAAGCTAATTTAGAAAAGCAAAGGAAATTATTTCCCAGAAGCCCCAGCACATCTCCTCTCATACCTTATCAGTCTGAAATTGATTACGCACCCATTCTCCATTCAGTGATTCTTTTGGGCCTGGATAAATGTGGACCAGATTGGTTTAGGTCTCAGTGGCAGGTGGGGTGGGATTATCTGGACTGCCTTATCGGGGTTCACACCTGGAGCTGGAGAGGGGGTTAATCCTCTCTATTCATCACTGCTACAGCCCAGCCAGGGCTTGGCTGCTGGACATTAAGTTAATAACCACAGTGGGGCCATGGCTTACTCATTTCTTTATCTCTAGTGTTCAGTACAGGCTTGGCACATAGTAGGTCCTCAGTAAATGTTTACTGAACAAGGCCAAACTGGAATAGTCCACCTTGCGTAATTTGGAAAGAAATCAGGAGTTTTTTGTATGAGTAAAATGATGCCTGAAAATAAAGCTTATCTTAGCTTTGAATATGGATTAAATGCAGAGTCTGGATAGAGGTGATAAGACTTTCCATCTCTTTTCCTATCCTATCCCACGTAGCATAAAATTTTCCCTTTCGCTTTGGTTGCTCATCAAATTCCATTACAATGAAGAGTGTTGTAAACAAAAGTTAGTATCAGGAAATTATTTCTAACTCCTGATAAGTCATTCGATGATCTCATGACACTAAAATTTGCCACTATGAATAATTCAGTAAAACAGAATCTTCTATTTCTTCTTAGAGTCCTTACCACCTAATGGTCATTTATTGTAATTTTTTATTTTTTGAGCAAAACACCCAAATATCTTTTAAAGAGTGCAAGGGCTTTGGTCAGTGAAGGAAGAAACTCCACTTCCTGGCCTTGACTAATAAGGGAGTTAGAAATACCATCAGCTTTTGTTTGAAAAAGTTTTCTAAGGAATGGAAAAAATAGATTCTCACAGGAAAGGTGTGGTAGAATTATTTTAGCATTACTCCTTTTAATTAAGAACACTTTTAGAAATGACCACATGACCTCTGCTGAAAGTCTTGGCCAATACTTTGTGTTATGAGTACATATTTTTAGGTTCTTTTGAGAAGTATTGTTTTTCTCTAATGAAATTCTAATGCACTGCGGGAAAAACTGGACTTCTGTTTGAAGTTTGCTTTGATAAGTATTTTGGCCTCTAATTATCATCCAAGTATGTACTCATTTCTAGTTTGAGTTATTTACTGCTTTTGTCATGTCGGGGGGGGGGGTCTCCAGCATGTGGCAATTTACTGTGGAGAATACCTATGTGGGAAAAGAGGCTGTGACATTCTAGGTGCATGCCATACCCACAGCCTTAACTTCAGTCCTCTGTCCCTCCCTTGTCCACATCCCCATCACCCTGGCTGCAAATGATAGAGCCAGGAATAAGTGTCACACTTAGGGAGGCCACTCTAGGATGCCAAGTGGCTATAAAATAATCTGATACAATTGCTCTGCCCAATAGGGATGGCCTATCCTGAGTTGTACCTTACCAACCCAATCAGATTCTTCCTCCTGGGGAGTAGCGATGACAAGGGCTTAGTCCCACACAGATCAAGAATGAGAATTGTTGAGCCACAAAGCTACTGATGGACGAAGCTACTGTGGTTAGCTAGAAATTGTGCCCTGAACAGCCATGGACATTGGTTACTTCTCCCTGAGACCTGCCCCCAGTCAGAGGAATTCCCATTTTCCTTCCACTCCTTTTACCTTTACAGTACCCCCCCTGTGACAGATAGAATATATTAGTGTTCACAGATGTTTGTGGGCTCCTCTAATGGAGAGACCATGTGACTGCTTTGGTCAAAGCAATGTACGGACTTGACATATGTCATTTCCAAACACACGCTCTGAGAGTCAAAGCATGGTTCACCATAGTCTTTTCACTTGATAACTAGTGATATTTCAGAGAGAGTAAAGAAAACATGGAGCAGTTGTTGATTGAAATGTTCATGTAACATGAGTCAGAAATAAACCATGGATGATAAAAGCCTCTCAGATAGCAAAATCTATCCTTAACTGATGTGTAAAAACAAAACAAAACAAAAACAAAAACCTAGTAACCAAGGTAACCTGAGCATATTTCTATCCCTTGCAAACCCAGAGTCTCAATGAACACAATGTCATAGCAAGCCACACTTCAATTCACAAACCTCACAGCAGGTGCTTTTGACATTTCTGGGGTGGAAGTACATTCATTACCTGATGCAGATTTAGTGCCTGTCCAGTGCTAGAAGTTTCTCTCCCCAGTCTCTGCACCTCCAGTCTGTCTCCTGTACGCATACCCCACATGACCCCTGGATCGAACTCTAGTTTCTGTCTTTTCTCCCTGTTGGGTTTCAGCCTTTTATGATGATGTTCTCCCCCGCCATCCCCTCCCTGAACTTTAGTACAAAATTTCTCCAGCATATAGAACAACTAAAAGACTTGCAGAGGGAACACCCACATATTTACCACCTCGATTCTATAGTTACCATTTTGCTTTATTTGTTTGGTTGCATATCCAACAATCCATCAGTCCATCCCTCTATCCATCTACCTTGTTTTTTGGATGCATTTTAAAGTAAGCTGCCGACTCATGAGGACATGATGATGCCTTTTCCCTTGACATTTAGTCTTTTTCCTTTTAATTCTGGATTTTAAAAAATGGCTTTTTAACCTTGAGGTTGTCTTAACTGTTTCCTCTGCCTGCCCAAACTTGGACATACTCACCCTTTAACAGTCATGAACTCAGTGTATTTGTCCACATTACGTAAACCCTGGGTGCCCACACTTTCTTAATCTCGCTCCCTAATTTTTCTCTTGGTTACTTCCTCTCTTATCTCTTCACTCACCACAACTTTTCATTTGCTTTCCCTTCTCTCTTTCAGCTCCCCGGCAGATAATTTTTAAACTAAACAACAGCTGAACAATATCACCACTGTTCCAAGTGTCTGAGTATGCACGGCACGTCCACACTTGCCCAGAACAGAAGGAAAACACAATTTCTTCCATTTTATTTCTTTGCATCAAAAGTGATTAAATCTGTCTGCATGACCTTCATACATCAGACCATTTGACTATTTTAAAAGTCTATTTAATAGAGTAAGTTAAGCTGCATTCCCTTGGTAGAAGGAATCTTTACCACCAAACGGCGCGGTAAATGCCAAGGGAACAATGCATCTTTTGTAGGACGGGAGAGAGAGACACTGTCATCTTACAATTGCTGAATTGTTTAAATTATTATATGGCAGTTCATGCTAGATACATATTTGCATTGTTGTACAAGTATTTTCTTATTTTGGTTAAAGATGGCTCTTTGAAGGGATAACCTACTCTTGCAAGGCAGGCTTAGAAAACCCCATTCCATGGGCTGGGACATTTAATTTTATTACCCTGACCAGGAGTATTTCAATTTTTTAATAAAAGGCTATCAGCAAGAAGGTAAAAGACTGCAAACAATCTCCAGTAACTCAGACACCACCATATTTTATTTACTAACAGCTATAATAAAGCTTTCAGTAAAAAATATTAAGTGGAGCTTTCCTTTTTTATGAGAATCAATTTCATAACCATCTTTTCAAGCTCATCTAGGATTATAAAGCTGAGTTGGCTGTTTTGAAGTGAAGGGGGAAAAATAGGAAAAAAGTAGGAAAATTTTCATGATAAAATATTATGAGAAGAAAATGAAGAGAAATTGTCCAGAATTATATCATTAATTTCTACTTTAAAAAATCAGAATTCTTGTAAATGGGTTCTTTCTTGGCATCTAGAAGGACAAATGGGGATTAGCGGATTAGAAAAGAAAGGAATAGGAGTTAAAACTCTTCCTGTTGTAAGCAATAAACAACCGAATGCAAACTGGCTTAATTTCAAAAAATATGTTCGTGGGGTGCCTGGGTGGCTGAGTCATTGAGTGTCTGCCTTTGGCTCAGGTCATGATCCCAGTGTCCTGGGATCGAGCCCCACATCTGGCTCCCTGCTCTGCCGGAAGCCTGCTTTCCCTGTCCTGCTCCCCCTGCTCGTGTTCCTGCTCTCGCTGTTTCTCTCTCACTGTCAAATAAATAAATAAAATCTTAAAAAAAAAAAAAATATATATATATATATAAACATATATTTGCTCATATACCAGAGGACATGAGCCAGGGGATTTGGGCTTTGTTTATAGCTGGATCCAGGATCTAGTACAGTGTTGTTAGGAATCTGCCATTGGTGGTCTAGCCAGCAGCATCTCCCTTCTTCCTTGCTAATAGAACCCCAAATTTATTCATTTTCTTTAGAGTTGCTGTGTCCTTCACGGATGACTGGGCGAGGAGCCCAGTGCAGGGCTCAATCCCACAACCCTGAGATCATAACCTGAGCCGAAATCAAGAGTCAGATGCTTAACCAACTGAGCCACCCAGGTGCTCTTCAAGGTCTAGATTTAAATAAAATCCTTCTGTGATAATTCCAAAAGCATGTAGTTGCCTCCTACTATGTGCACTATCTTTTATCAGTCCCTGCTGTCAGAAAATAGGCTTGTCCAAAGACGACTAGAGAAATGTCCTCAGAATTCTTTGCATCACCCCAAGTTACTGTTTGTTGACATACTTATAAACCTCATAAAAGACTTGTGCCTATTTCCCCTAACACAAAAAAGCAATTATCTCCTCCTCCTTTGTCCTACTCAGACATGTGGACAAAGAGTATAATTTAATTCCGTCTTCTCTCTTTTCTCTTTAGAGAAAAAGAACCAAATTCATTGCCTGTGATTTTCTGACTGAGTGGTTATACAAGTAAGTTTTGCTTGTCTTCGAATATTCAATGACCCTAAGGGTTCAATAGTGTTAATTTGCAAACAGAATAGCAACAATTGACTTGAATTTTTGCTTATTGTTTTCTTGTCAACCAAACATATGGCATCGTTACCAGTCAAAATCTAAAGAGGATAGGGGAGGCTTTCACAGAATTCTTCTCCATTCCGTTTGTGGACCAGTGGCTGAAGCATCAGTGAGTACCAATACAATGCCTCAAATAATTTCTTCCTATTTTAAGATTGTGTTAATGATCGTTTTCTCCAATCCAGCTAACTCATGTAACTCACCCAGGACTCCTGGTCAATTATATTTGTGGCTCTTATCTCTGGTTATTTTCAGTCTAGGCTAATCCTACCCATGTGATGATTATTCAAAAAGCACTTCAAAAATAAAGCAGAAAACTTTAAAAAATTTTTATCCTAAGTAATTCATCTCTCTGTACTCTCTCCTTCCCTCTTCCTCCCTTCCCTCCCTCCCCACCCCCTCTTAAGGTTATTTTGTCTCAAGAAATATGACTAAACTTTTCTAAACATTGATTTTTAGTTAATTTTTAGTTACCCATCAATTCTACATTTAAAATATTAGAGCATGAGAGATGCAGTTAAAACTGTCTTTGACCATCATTCTAATATGACTCTTCTCACAAATGTAATCAGTTTAGTCTATAGTGCATCCTTGCAGAGCTCATAGAATTGGTGGTTAATGTGAAATTAGATTATATCATAAAAAATTAGTAGTAGTATTTGCTGTAAGCGAATTTCCATCAATATAATGATGATGATGAGAAATAACATTTATTGAATGCTTATGTCATTGTTCTCAGCATTTAACACTAATGAACTAACTTGATCCTCATAATGATGCTATTACCAGCCCTATTTTGCAGATGAGGAAATATATGCATTATTCTGCAACTTGCTTTTATTTGACTCAAATATATGCTTTGGAGATCTAGCCCTGTTGATTCAGTTACATCTCATTCATGCCTTTGATGGTGTTGCAATATATTTCATTTCTAGATTTGCATAATACACTCATTCTTACAATAAATATTTATTGAGTACTACAATGTGCCAAACATCATTCTAGATGCTGGAGGTAAAGCAGTAAACAAAGTAGCCCCAAATCCCTGCCTTAATGGAGTTTATATCCTAGTGGGGGATGTCAGACAATAAGTAAATAATTAAATGCTGTAGGGAAAAATAAAGCAGTGAGGGGGGAATACAGAGTATTTGAGGGGGCTTAATTTTTGCATAGAGTGGTCAAGAGAGATCTTACTTGGAAGATGACATTTAAGCAGTGGTCTACTATTTTAAGCCATAAGTCGAGGAAAGATAGCTCACTCAAGAGAAAATGACATATATTTAACCTGTTGTTTTGAAATGTTTTCATGCCAGCCCTTTGCAAGAACAATTTCAGGAAACTGAGGCATTAGAAAATTAAGTGAGCCTCATAAAACCCCACATTATACCGAACAAAAGACCTTAAATTAGGCCCTTAACCCTCAAATGTCACTTTTTTTTACTTAAATTGCCCTTCTTGAGAATGCCAAGTTGAGTAGACTCTTGACTTTCTTAATTTTGAGAATTAAATGTACCCCAGGTATTACCAGTGTTTTTTAAGAGGGTGTTTTTTTTTTTTTTTTAAAGTAATCTCCATACCCAACACGAGGCTTGAACTTGTAACCCTGAGATCAAGAGTTGCATGCTCTACCAACTGAACCAGCCAGGTGCCCCATTACCAGTTTTTTTAAAAAATCTGAGAGTAGCTACACATTGAAGGAGAATGATATTGGAAAACCTTGTTTTTTAATTCAGCTTCTAAACCTGTGCCTAATTTTGCCCACTATGAAAATGGAAGACCCATAATGTATTGAGTATAAGTGACTAATAAATGGAATATTTGCATGTTTTTCTAAGACCAGGTTTTTTCAGTATCATTCTGTTGCTTTGCCTTGAAAATGAAACATTTTCCCACTTCCAAGAGTGAAAAAGAATCTTAAAGATATGAGAACTTTTCTAAAGAAGAGTCCTCTCAAATCCCCAGTCACTTATTATACAAATATCTTAATTTAAAATGGTTGCTAACTTCTGCTGGCAGTGCATATAAGTATACTGAGAAGTAGCCAAAGCAATCATTTCACTTTAACTCCGCAAGAACAAAAAGCGTAAGAGCTCTCACCTTAACTGGCATTTGTACTCTCTATTTCCATAACCTTCCAAAGAGATGCCAAGAAGTATATTAAAACTATAAATTATATTAATCTAATTTGATGTAATAAATATTTATTGAACACCTACCACGTGCAATGCACAGAGCCTGGTGTTGTAGAATAAATTGAGATGAATCAAATATGGCTCTGGCTCTGGGGTAAGAGAGCCATGTTTACAACCAGCCATAGTTCCTGTAGTGAGTGTTGTAATACAGGTGAAAGCACTGAAGGGAATTGGGGAAGCATAAGACCATTCACAGGCCCTCCAGACAGGCTTGGAGCCAGCCCAGTTAGGGCAGAGGCCAAGCTGGTTGGTGCCCAGATTTGGTTTTGAGAGGCAAAGACTCAGGTACTGTATCCTTCTTGAAGATATTTTTGACCAGATGAGTCAGAGAGATAAGTAAGAATGAGGGTAGGACCTGGGAAACAATATCTAATCCAGGTTTTTTGAACCTCAGCACTATGACAATTGGCACCGGGTAATTCTCTGATGTGGGGCAGGCCTGTGCATTCTGGAATGTTCAGCAGATTCTCTGGCCTCTGCCCACCAGATGCCAATAGCACCTCCCTAAAGCCATCACCAGCAAAAATATCTCCAGACACTAGCAAATGTCAGGAGCATGAGGAGTTGAGCGCAGCAAGGAGCCAACCAAGTAGCCCCTGGTTGAGAACCTCTGACCTAACCCAGTGGGTTTCTACCTTGGCTGCACTACAAAGTCATCTGGGAAGCTTTTGCCTGGCTTCACCCAAGACCTGGTAAATGAGACCTATTAATTCAGGGTATAGCCTAGGCATTGTTGTTTGGGGTTGTTGTTGTTGTTGTTGTTTAATAGCTTCCTGGGTGTTTCTTATATACAGCCAGAGTCAAGACCTCATCCCTACAGCAGAAGACAGGCTGCGTCTAAATAAATAGTATAATTATACCAGTATAAATAGTATGCTTGAGGTAATAAATAGTATAATTTAGTCATTCCTCTGCTAAGCACTTTTACACGTTTTATCTCATTTAATCTTACCGACAACACTAGTATGTAGGTACTAAAGCTGAAAGGAGCTAGGAAGTTTCAAACAAAGTGAGGTAGGTCTTAGGCAAATATGGTGATTGTTGGGGGTGCAATAAATGGTCATTTTGGATAGGGCTTAAAGGTACAGATTGGAGGAAAATGAATTTTGAGAGAAAACTCCGTCAATGTTTTATAAAGGAAGCAAAATATAAACTAGCACTTCAGGCAGCTTTGGACTGGGGTTAAGAGCATGAGCTCTGGGGACAGACAAACCAGCATTCAAATCACTAGTCTACCACTTACTTGTCACATGACCCTGGGTGTTTTAGCTTCTATTACCATGTAACAAATTACCCCCAATGTTTAGGGGCTTGAAACAATAAATACTTATTACCTCACAGTTTCTGTGGATCAGGAATTTAGGTGCAGCTTGGCCGGGTGGTTCTGGTTCAAGGTCTCTCCTTGGCTACAGTCAAGATGTTGTAGGGGCTATAGTCTTCTGAAGCTATGACTGAGCCAGAGGGGTCACTTTCACAATGGCTTCCCCACATGCTGGTGGCTGAAGGCCTCAGTTTTTCTCCACATGGGCTTTTCCATGGGCTGCTGAGTAGCCTCACCATGTGGTGACGCCTCTTTCAGGATGAGAGACTCAAGACCAAGAAGGAAGCCGCAGGGCCTTTTGTGATCCGATCTGGAAAGCCAAACACCTGCAAGTTCGACCACATTCTGTTGGTTAATTTAGTGAGTCTCTAAGTACAGCTCAAGTACCACGTTCAAAGGGAGTGTGATTAGGCTCTACCTTTCGAAGAAAGAAGTATCAGACTCTTTGCAGACATATTTTAAAAGTGCCACAGCAGGTCACTCTGTAACCTGGAACCTCCATTTCCTTGTTAGTGAAATGTTTAGTTCGGAAAATTAGGAAGATGCAGTGAAATGATGCACCTGCAAATGAAATCACGAGCAAGGTCAGCCCATAGTAAACTGTGGCTTACTAGTGCTACAGATGCTGTCAAAGGACTCTGTGGACTTAGGAAGAGAGATACAACAGAAAAGGGTACTCAAGGCCAAAGGCAGGAAAGTGGGAGAAGGCAGGACTTGATCCAGGCACAGGAAACCAGCACAGCTGGCTCACAGAGCATGTGAAGATACAGGGATGGGATAGGAGATAAAGCTGGAGGGGAGTTAGGGGCTGGATTTTGGTTTTCAGTAAAACCATGAGGTTTGGGCATTATCCCATAAGCAAGAGAGCATATTAAAAGATTTTGGAGCAGAAGTGTAATGTGAGCAGGCTGTTTTGGCAAGATAACTCCCAAGAATGCAGGGGGATATGTGAAACTGGGGGAAACCTGATTACCCTCTTGAACTGCGACAACAGGAATGGAAAAGGAGGTACCGGGGATGGGTAGAGTGGATGGATGGTGTGGGATGAGTTTAGGGATAGAGAAGTGATGTGCCTAAAAAGGTGAGATTTGCTGGGCAAATGGGAGGCCCATGATAGAAGAAAAAGACCTTGCCAGCAAAGCAGGCTCAAGGGTAAAGGCACATTGAGATTGAGGTGCCTCTAGGACATCCGTACTGGGAATATTGGCCTGAAGCTCAGAAGTGGGGTCTGGAGAGAAACATTGATTTTGGAATCAGGGTTCCCATGTCAGATGTACAGATTGAGCTGAGATGGACCACAGCTAAACTTTGGGAGTACCCCAGAGTTGGTTCCAGAGATGCAGTGAAGGAGGCACTTACTCTAAGTCATGTGGTTGGCAGTGGTGACCATGGCTAGTCTTCTAGTTGTTTGCAAAGCAAGTCATTGTTTGCACTTAGATTTTATGTTAATTTGAATGACCAGTAGGGAGGGAGTTGGAGTATATTACTTTTCTATTGCTGCTGTAACAAATTACCACAAACTTGGTGTCTTTGACAAAGTTATTTTCTTACGGTTCTGGAGGTCAGAAGCCTGACATGGGTCTCCCTGGGCTAAAA